AATCTTATGTGAATGTCATTATATGCATATAGCTTCAAATTTATTTTACTATAAATAAAAGTTTTTGTTAACAATATATTTTTTTTAAAAATTTAATTTTAAATATTGATATGGACTAATAGAATTGAACTTTTAAATCCTATATGGATATTCTTAAAGGCATATAGCTTTAATTTTTCTTAGTAATAGGATTTTGAAGCCTCCTGGTTTTGAGGCTTACCGAATGTATTTTGATGCTGCTTGGTCAGCTAATTGTTACTTTTGTAGTTAGAGTTAGGTTGTTAAAACCCTATCAGATGCCATGTTATTTCAAAAATCTTCCTTGGATACCTCAATCTCATTCATCTTAAAACTTCTTTTTCTATTTTATGTGATTCATTTTTCAAAATTGTCGAATATCAATCACTTGACATGTTTCTCGGATTGCTTGGAATTTATTACTCTTCTCAATTTATATCTTCTTTCATTATATTTTTTTTTTTGTAATTTAGCTAATAGTTAAACATATAGTTTGTCAAGTTGGTTCTTCTATGTTGTAATGACTCATTTTTTAGAGAAATTTAACTCTTTTTTTTTTATATGGTTGAACACACAAATTTTTTTTTTCAATATTGTTATCTGTGACAAAAAATTGGATGCTGATGTAAGAGTCTCTAAATATGTGTATACATCTAATTTAAATTTAAAAAATTCCTATTTTAATATTATTTATTTTAGTTTTTTATTATTAATAGAAATTATATATAATTTTTTATCTTTAATAAATTTTAAAAAACAATAATAAAATTTGTAAACTTTTAAATTTTCAATGTTGAAGTAGACCAATAAAAAAATTATACAGATTTCGCAATAATATTAGAATTTGTAAACTTTCTTAATTTCCTTATTCAACAATAATATTAGAATTTATAAACTTTCCTTATTTTTGAATGTTGATGTGGACCAATAAAATTGTAATCTTGAATCCTATGTGGACACCCTTAGAAGCCTATATCTTCAACTTTTATTAGTATATATATAAGATGGCAATTATAATGAAATATAAATTTGAAATTATATTTTAAAAATTTTGAAAATATCTAAAAAGGAATTAAAAATATTTTCTTATATCATTTATGGAAAAGATAATATTTTTATTGTATTTTTAAAATTTGTTGTACGCTTGGTAGAATGCATGTTCTATGTTCTACGCCCATGTAGAATCCCATTTCTATAATTCTTCACATATTCTACCAGCCTGTAAAAGTTGTTTTCTATAGGTCTTTATATATTCTACCGATTGATAGATTATAACTTCTACTGGATAGACTGTATTCTATATGTTAGTAGAATACATCTTCTACCTGTTAGACCAGGTTCTACGTTATTGTATAACAGTTTTTCTACCTGTTAGACTTCATTCTACATTAACGTAGAATGCATCTTCTACCTGTTAGACTGCATTCTACATTAAAGTCGAATACATCTTTTTCCAAAATCTGAGAAAATCTAAGAAAATTAGTTAACTTCCAGATTTTAATTCGATGAACTTTCACTAAATCCCTATAATTAATCATGTGGAAAATACAACTAGGAAGCTTCAAAAAATCAAAAATATTGACTAAAAACTAATTGTCCTTCCCCGAGAATCCTCTCCTCCTCATGTTTTAGCAAGGTTGTACAAATTGATGACGAACCAGGACCGCATAGTTTACAAATATTTAATTATTGCATTCAATACGTACGATTGTTATCGTAACTACGAAAAATTAAATCATTAAATAAAATCATTCATGCTGAAAACGTAATAGAGAACCCCGTATATATAAATTTGGACAAAATTAAAACATGTATTTCTTGTGAATTTAGCCCAAAAATCCTCTCCTTGTCATGTTTTTGTTAGGATTTGATTCCAAATCAAGCTCTCAGAAAACAATTTAAATTAAAACATGAAGACACACATAACTTGAATATTAGAAAATGTTAGCATAGATTTCAAAGACCCAAGATACCATCGTCAGGTGGAGAAAATGAACTCCACAACTCAACAATCTTAATAGAATACTTAATGTATCGATATTGATAGACCTTGGTGAAGAAAGAACCACATATAATTACGTTTTTTTCTTTTAGCAAAATAAATAAATAAATCGTCCTTTCTGGCCCTAGCTAATAGCGTACGATTTCACTACCATTATAATTAGAGACGTTTACAAATTATTACACAAAATATCACTTTCTGCTACTATAATATTTATTTAGCTTTTACATTGACTTAGATTACAATTTTATCATTCTTTTACTCTTTGTAATTTTTGGGATAAAAATAAATCAAATTAAAAATAAAAAGTCATACTTTCTCTATTATCTCCTTTTTTCTGACCACATTTGTTTTTTTTTCTCTTTCCTCTCTTTTCCTCACACTTATATTCTCTATATTTTATTTAGTTTATTTTCTTGTTTTCAAAAAATAATTTCATAGTTATTTTTACACTATCAATTATATCTCTTTTATATCTATAATTTGAGTACTATTTTTCAATAGTTTACTTATATGTAATATGTATAATAAGATAAAACGTACATGCAATTATATAGTTGTGTCCACGTGGATACATACATATATTCATATTTAGACGTATCCACGAACATGTGGTTCATGTGGACGAAGTTACATGGATATATAAACGTATTCACGCACATATGGTACACGTGGATGCAATTACATGAATATACATGCTGTTTCACGATAATATAGTACACGTGAATGCAATTGCATGAACATACATGCTGCTTCACGATAATATAGTATACATGTACACACTATATGTATATGTGTATTTTTTATATAATATATATAAATTATATAATTATGTAAACTATTATAAAATATGTATCAAAATATAGACATAAAATAGATATAACTGATAGTGTGAAAATAATTGCAAATATATTTTTGTTTAAAAAGAAAATAAACAAAATAAAATATGAGAAATATAAGTTTGAGGAAAGAGAAGAAAGAGAAAAAAGAATAAAGAAATAAAATATATTGTAGTCGCACAGAAAGAAAGACAAGAGAAAAAGTGTAACTTTTTATTTTTATTTTGCTTTATTTTTTAATCTTGTAATTATGTGTAATTGACAAGAATATAATTGTAATTTAGCCAATCTAAAAGGTGAATAAGTGTTAAAGTTGCAGAAGGTGATATTATGTGTAATCTAAACTCAAAAAGTGATACTGAGTGTAATATTCTCCTATTATTATCTGAATTGTTTATTGTGTAATGTGGAAAATAATTATTTGAATGTGTTTATTGTAACCGTGTAAATTTGTGATAGGTACAGAGATTCAGAAATTAAGAACTTCTCCACATGTTAAGAAAAAAAAAGTACGAATATCCATTCCTTTCTTTATTTATTTCCGGATATTTTTTCTGTGATACCAAGTAGCAACCTTAATTGAAAAAAAAAGAAAACCTTAATAATCATCAGGATCACGTGAATGATATTTACTTCATGCTAACCTGCCTTTGGTTTTGAACTTCTATTCTGACTTCCACTTAGGTTTTCACCTTTTTAGGGTCTTTTGAGATAAGTATCAACCATGTTTCTTCTCTTGGGAAGATTCTGCTTGCTTTCTTACTCTGGTTTTGGTTCTTCTTAGTTATAAGGTTGTGCTTAATTAAGCTCTCAGATTTGTCCATCAACATCTGCAGAAACGTATCTTTAAGGAGAAAGTAAGAAACATATGCCTTATATAACGATTCCTTTAATATCTCATGTCCCTTATACTAATCAAGGATTTATTACCTCCATTTACTTGTTGTAACTTTAGGAAAAATTTATGATTTGAATCTGCAATCCTATATCTTGTGAATTCCCCTATTTTTCAAGGGTGTGTCTTGGGGAGTCTACGGCTGGTAAAATTTACTGTGAAACAACAAAATTACAAGCTGGTTTGAGCTCTTATCTTGATATATTCTTGTCGCAGTGGTTAATAAAGAATGGAGATTACACAAGTGTAAAGAAGAATGAAAAAAAAAAATTGTCAAGCTCCGTTCTTTAACGGCTTTATAACGGCTTGACTCGACATGGGCTTAAGATTTTCGAAGGCCCATCTTGCTCCTTTCTCTTGTTACTCGTGCTAAGCCCATCACTACAAGAGCCCAACCTAAACGGAAACTGAAGAATAATTGAACCGGGAATCACAACGATTTACAGCGAGTTTGGTTTTGGTTTTACGATGATCTTCCTGATTCGGAGGACAAAAATAAATCACTTGAAGCATTTCTTTAAGTAAGTCACTTACTCAATCGTGGACATTTTTTCTATCTTAAGTATTATTTTTCTATCTTGGAATTTTCCAAGACTCTGGTAGACCTCTGTTTCCAATTAAATTAGCTATAAGGTAAAGAATGGTTCTTAAGTTGTAAATATATATATATATATATATATATATATATATATCTCTCAAACCGCCTTATATAGTACTTCATAACCATTTTATTTTAATTGTCCATTTGAATTGCCTATTTCAATAATTTGTTTACTTTGTCTATCTAATCAGTAACTGAAGAAGCGGTTCAACCTCTAACCATATTCTATCTAAGAACATATGGCCCAAGTTGATACAACAGAAAACGACTAATGTCACTCACCCTCTGGTCGAGTCGGTTAAAACATATTTTTTCTTCTGTTACTCTATTAATTTTGAATTGAAAATCAATAAAGTCTAGTGTTCAACTTCACTTATCATATTAAAAAAAAAAATCTAGTATGGAGGTCTTAGAGCAACCTCAATGGGAGAGACCCCTATGGATTCAGACCTATATTATAATAGTTTTTGAGTTAAAAATGAGATTAGAAACAAGTTTTGAAAACCTTTTATTTTGGACTGTGCAATGGAGAAATTCATATGAGTCTCTTTAAAAAAAAAATTTGTAACAAAGTAAAAAAACAAAATTTGTTATTAATTAAAATTTATTGATTAAAACTTTCCCAAATATGCATTTAAATTAAACAAACTAAACATACAATTTAATATAAATACTTAATTGATTAAAGCTTATGTAGTACATTTAAATTAAAACAAGCAAAACATACAATTTAACAAGAAGAGAATGTGTGTCGTTTCTTTCCTTCCTTTGTCTTCTTTGAGATGTTTCTAATCCGTGATAAAATGAATGTTCTTGTGATTTAGCAGGTAAAATATACACAGAGAAATGCATTTTATTAAGCTACAACAACATAAGAAACACAGCTACACAATCCAAAATTCTTTCTCTATAATCCAAAATGAGGGCTTTAAACAAAGTAAAATATTCACAAATGATTCACAGATTCTATTACCAATCGATATCGTCTTCCACTACCACCGGTAAATTGTACGAAAATCCAACCCAAATCAAACAAATCATACATGCGTTCATTTCTAAATAAAATAGAATCAGAAGATCGAGAAGAGAAATTGGGTTAGGGTTTACAAGGATTACCTGCGACCGCTGTCACGAGGATCCACAAGCTCCGATGCAGATTACTCAGAAGCCGCCGGAGAAAACACAAATCCTGTTCTCGTCGATTTCGTGGGAGAAGAGAGCGATTTAGCAAAGTCGCAAATTGAAAACTATTGGAAAAATGAAAGAAGATGAAGGAAAAAAAAATATTTTTCTCCCAATTTCTTCAACGAATGAGATGTTGCCACGTTTGAGAAGAAACGTTTCCAAAAATCTTCAAAAGTCGTCAAAATAGAGACGTTTCTCTCAAATTAGAAACGCAGCCTCGAGCATCAGCATCGCAAAGACTCATTTGAGTCTCTTAAACTGTATAATATTATTATTTTGGGTTTAAAGACTGTGATAAGAAACCTTTACATTTGGGCTGTCCATTGATAGGTTTCTTTAAAAAAAATTGAATGACTTCGAATTAAATTAAAACACCAGAACGACTGTAAATAATGAAAAGTATGAGCATGTGTGTGACTTTACACATATAAACAAAAGAGAAGCATACAGAACTTGCCTGATAATTACAATGTCAAGAGCTTTGAGAGCATCGGCCATGACAAGTCTTCTCACCGTAATCACTCATTGTTTCCTGAATCAGACAGATATAAGAAGAAAGCAAGTGAGATTTATATGCAGGGACAAAAAAGCAAGTGAAATAAGAAGAAAGCAAACCTCTCACGTCCTAACCTTCTTCTCTT